ATATTTTATTGTACTTCAGGTGAAGGCTTACTGATTATTATTTAATTCTTGATTTTAGGAATGATGTGCTGTATATTGCTAAAAGGAGCTCTGGTGGTACAATGGTTAAGCATTCAGCCACTAACTAAAAGGTCAGCAATTTGAATCCACCAGCCGCTCCTTAGAAACCCTATGGAGCAGTTCTACTCTGTCCTATAGGGTCACTATGAGTCGGAACCAACTTGATGGCAGTGAGTTTGGGTTTTTTTGTTTTCTTTTGTATTTTTATTTTGCTAAAAATGAAACCTCTTCATCTGATCATAAAAAAGATACTGATCATGTGAGTACTAATAATCATTGTCTTTGTTCCCCAGTTGGTAGAAGAATTAGAAAATAAGATGACTAAAAATGTCACAGGCAAGAAGAAAAAATAATGGCAAGAAAACGTAGCCATGGAAACACTGCATAAGCCGGGCAGCTGGGTTCTCCATCACTGTTGGAAAAGTCACCTTCCTTACCCTTTGATATGGCCATTGACACAACCTTTAGATTGCCAGGGCATGTAGATGTACTGTGGATGTTGTGCGGTAAGCCCTACCTTTCATAGACTGCATCACCACTAGTTTCATCAACACACCGCTTGCTATTTGCACACTTGTCCTGCACAGATTCCTTAGTAGTTGCTGGTTTCCCTTTTTCCTTAGCTTCTCTTGCACTAGCGTCTTCCTTAGAATGAAACCCGTCTTTCTCTCCTTTGCACACTGGGCTTTCATTTCTATCCATAGCGACTTGCTTCTTGTCTCCCAACACTATCGCAGTCTTGTCTTTTCAGTCTCTCTGTGTATGAAATGTCTCTCCCATCTGTATTCGCTCCTGGCTCTATGGGATTTCTTGGAGCAAAACTTTTCCATCGTCTTGCCATCTTTCTGTCGGAAACGTGGCAAGATTTTTCTGAACTAGGAAGTCCTTGGTCTTCTCCACATTTTTCTTGTTGAGCTTATTAACTGTTTCTTCCACATAGGAGGGCTGGTTCTTCTGAGCAGATCTCTCTAGAAGCCACCACAGGACACAAAATATTTTAATGTAGACACATGTGATCAGTGTAATTTTGGCTGCATATAATGGTATCTCTATTCAGGTTTCTCTTTATCTGCAGACATAAGCTTTTAAAAAGCAAAGTAGAAGCAAATATTCTGGGTTGACTGACAATTAGGTTCCTAAAGATTTTCTTGTTTGTAACTAGTCAGATCCAAAGCCAGTCAAATAAAGGTATTCAAACTGCACCTCTCCCTACATCTGAGCATTGCGAATGTGTAACTTCCTCTGAATAAGAACAACAGTAGCAAAAGGACTTTTATAACAGAGCTCTCCTTATCTATAAATATCTAGTCTTCAAGAGATGTTACCTGTGAGGGCTGAGGTCCTTTTGCTTGTGACAGATGTTGTGTCCTTCAGGCCTGAGTGCAACCATACCTTCTCCTTAGCCTGTGGGTACACAATGAGTAACTGAGGTTACACAGTACATCAGAGTTTCTCAGTCTCAGGTCTACTGACATTGGGGGCTGGATAGTTCTCTGTCATGGGGTGGGGGCTGTCCTGTGCATTGTAGGATGCTGAGCAGCATCCCTGGCCTTTACCCACTAGATGTCAGTAGCCCCCCTCCCCCTGCCCCCAAATTGTGACAACCAAAAATGTCTCCAGAGATTGCCAAATGTCCCCTGGAGGTAAAACTGCCCCTCTTTGAGAACCACTGTATTACATGATTCAAACAAAAATTTAATAGTAATTTAGAGGGCAAGACAATCTGAATTAATGAAACTCTGCATTAGACTACAGTATTTGAAAGCAAATGTACTCACTACTTCCAAAGAAATTCTGTAAAACTCTGGCATTGTTTGTGGAAGAAAGTCCATCTTAATGAATAGATGAAAGGATACTGATAATTTGTATGCTACCCTTGACCTCTGCTTATATTGTCTTGATATGGTTTATATATAAATCAAATAAAAATGAGAGGATATATGTGAATGTGCTCTGTAAACCAGAAAGTAGGAGACCAAAGTAAGCTTTTATACATGGGAGCTCTTCCATTGCTTAGAAACAGATGGTCCCTTTCCTAAGTAGATAAACATTCTGCTCAAAATCCTGGCTACTCTGAACTAGATTAGCAAATCCTTTTAAAATACCAGGTAAAAGGTAAACATTAGCCCAATTCCCACAAATATCACAAATCCTAAAGTTATCTACTGTAAGTAAATGAAATTGTATGAATGCCCAAAGAATCGGTCTTTTTTTTTTTTTTCTTTTTAACAGAAAAAGAATTTGCCTTAGGGGGATTTGCAGGCATGTAACAGGATGTGAGTGCAGAGCAGTGATATCAAGGCAAATTGCAAATGTACTTTTCAACAATGCTCAGAACATTTTCATTTTTCAGATGAGACTTTAAAACACAGAGGCATGTTTGGTAAATCTGTGGAAACACCAAGATTAGAGATTAGAGCCTTGGGTTTTGTAGCTTTCTTCTCTAAGGTTACGTGCAGGGGTGCCCTATGTGCACCTCTGCTGTGGCAAAACCTTCAGCTCCTCAGGCAAAGTCCAAGTCTCCCACTGCACCTTTCCAACACTCAGCATACACCCCATGGTATCCATTGCAACTTCATTGGTGTTTTTTTCCTGTCAATTTGCCACAAGATTGTAGGGTCCTAAATGGAGCCCTGGTGGCACAGAGGTTAAGAGCTCAGGCTGCTAACCAAAGAAGGTCGGCAATTCAAATCCACCAGCTGCTCCTTGGAAACCCTATGGAGCAGTTCTACTCTGTCCTATAGGGTCACTATGAGTCAGAATCAACTCGATGGCAACGGGTTTTTGGTTTAATGAAAAAAGTGGTTTGGGTCAGGCACACCTTATTCCTCAAAGTGACACCGTTGCTTTTTAACACTTTGAAGAGGTTTTTTGCAGCATATTTGCCTAATGCAATACATCATTTCATTTCTTGACTGCTGCTTCCATGGGCCTTGATTGTGGATCCAAGTAAAATGAAATCCTTAACAACTTCAATATTTTCTCCACTTATCATGATGCTGCTTATTGATCCAGTCATGAAGATTTTTATTTTCCTTATGTTGAGGTGTAATCCATACTGAAGGCTGTGGTCGTCTTTGATCATCATCGTAAGTGCTTCAAGTTGTCTTCATTTTCAGCAAGCAATGAAGTAATGTGTCATTCACATATCACAGGTTGTTAATGAGTCTTTCGTCAATCCTGATGCCAAGTTCTACTTCATATAATTCAGTTTCTGGGATTATTTGCTCAGCATACAGATTGAATAACTATGATGAAAGGATACAACCATGAAGCTTACCTTTTCTGATTTTAAACCACTCAGAATCCCATTGTTCTGTTCTAACAATTGCCTCTTGGTCTATGTACAGGTTCCACATGAGCACAATTAAGTGTTCTGAAGTTCTCATTCTTCACAATATTATCCATAATTTGTTGTGATCAACACAGTTGAATGCCTTTGTGTAGTCAATAAAACACAGGTAGACAACTTTCTGGTATTCTCTGCTTTCAGCCAAGATCCATCTGACATCAGCGATGATATCCCTGGTTCCACGTCCTCTTCTGTATCTGGCTTGAATTTCTAGCAGTTCCCTGTCGATGTACTGCTGCAACTTTTTTGAATCATCTTCAGCTAAATTTAGTTTGCAAGTGATATTAATGATGTTTTTCAATAATTTCCACATTCCATTGGATCACCTTTCTTTGTAATGGGCACAAATATGGATCTCTTCCAGCTGATTGTCCAGGTAGCTGTCTTCCAAATTTCTTGGCATAGACAAATAAATGTTTCCAGCATTGCATCCATTTATTGAAGCATCTCAGCTGGTGTTCTGTCAATTCCTGGAGCCTTGTTTTTTGCCAATGCCTTCAGTGCAGCTTAGACTTCTTCCTTCTGTACCTTTGAGGTCTAAGGTGCTCTTGATCCAGGCCATGTTATTTTCAACTACCTTAAATACATGTGAAAGCTAGACAATGAATAAAGAAGACAGAAGAAAAATTGATGTGTTTAAATTATGGTGCTGGTGAAAACTATAGACTGCCAGAAGAACAAACAAATTTGTCTTGGAGGAAGTACAGCCAGATGCTCCTTAGAAGTGAGGATGACAATACTTTGTCTCACTTATTTTAGACATGTTATCAGGAGGGACCAATCCCTGGAGAAGGACATCATGCTTGGTAAGGTAGAGGGTCAGCAAAAAAGAAGAAAATCCTTGACTAGATGGATTGGTGCAATGGCTCTAACAATGGGCTCAAAGCAATGACTGTGAGGATGGCACAGGGCTGGGCAATGTTTTGTTTTGTTGTATATAAGGTTGCTATGAGTCAGAACTGTATCAATGGCACCTAACAACAATGTACAAATGGAGTCCCTGGGTGGCACAAATGATTAACATGCTCAGCTGCTAACGGAAATGTTGGCAGTTCAAGTTCACCCAGAAATGCCTTGGAAAAAAATCCTGGTGATCTACTTTGGAAAAATCAGCCATTGATGTTCTGCATCCTACTTTGGTGAGTGGTGTCTGGGGTCTTAAAAGCTTGCAAGCGGCCATCTAAGATGCATCAATTGGTCCCAACCACCTGGAGTAAAGGAGAATGAAGAACACCAAAGACAAGGAAAGTAGTAGCCCAAGAGAAAGAAAGGGCCACATAAACCAGAGACTTCATCAACCTGAAACCAGAAGAACTGGATGGTGGCTGGCTACCCCCAGTGACCACCCTGACAGGGAACACAACAGAGAGTCCTGGATGGAGCAGGAGAAAGGTGGGGTGCAGAACTCAAATTCTGGTAAGAAGACCAGATTTAATGGTCTGACTGAGACTGGAGGAACCCCGGAAAGCATGGCCCCTGGATTCTCTATCAGCCCAGAACTAAAACAATTTCTGAGGCCAACTCTTCAGACAGGGATTGGACTGGACTTTGGGACATAAAGTGATACTCATGAGGAGTGTGCCTCTTAGCTCAAGTAGATACAAGAGACTAAATGGGCAGCTTCTGTCCAGAGGTGAGATGGGAATGTAGAGAGGGTTAGGAGCTGGCTGAATGGAAATGGGGAATCGGGTGGAAAGGAGAAGTGTGCTATCACAGTATGGGGAGAGCAATTAAAGTCACATAACAATGTATGTATAAATTTTTGTATGGGAAAAAATGAAAAAAGAAAAGTCAGCCATTGAAAACCTTATGGAGCATACTTCTACTCTGACACACATGAGGTCACCATGAGTAGGAATCAACTTCATGGCAACTGGTTTTTTTTTTTGTTTTTTTTTTTTTTGTTTTTTAAATGGACAAAAAGATTGGCTCATTCTTGAATCCTGGTATTTAGCCCACAGGTTAGCACGTAGTGATGACAATGATGATGATGATGATGATGAGGGTGATGTCAGCTAACATGTATTAAGCACTGACTGTTTGCCAGGCACTCTTCTAAGCACATTACATTATTGACTCAGTTGCTCCTCATAGCAACCCCTTGGGGTAGTAACTATTAACCCCATTTTATAAGTGAAGTTGGGTAATTTCCCAAGGTTATACAGCTTGGAAATGGCAGCACTGGCATTCTAATTCCACTGTCTACTTCAATCTGTGCTCTTAGTCACTACCTTTTACTACATTTTACTGTTACTCTGAGAAAAAAGGAATAAAAGGATTTCAGCCAAGTTGCATGATTAAAATTTATTGAACATTTACTGCGCAGTCAGCACTCCACGAGACAAGAAAAAGATTAGGAGAGAAGGACAGAAAACAAAAGACAGACAGAAAACAAATTAGTAGAATAAAGAAATAGATATTTATTGGTAAAAAGATTAGAATTAACATGAAAGAGAGGAAAAAGAAAGAATTTAAGTCCAATTTTGAAAGCATATATTCAAATTAGTTAAGATAGTTTACAAACACTTTTTATGAAATGTTGTGTTTAAGATGTTTTATAACTTTATCTCTCATTGCTTCTCTTTTGAACTGAAAACTCCTGGTGTGTAAGAATTGTGTCTCTAGGTTTATTTTGTATGGCATGAACACAGTGGCAAAAGCTCATGAGACCTGATAATGAAAACTGGTGTGCGTTGTCAAGGTCAGTCAATCAAAATATTTGGTTGTCAGAATCCTTGGAGTTCTGAGGGAGCAGCATTCATCTAAGGCCCCTGGGGGTGTTCAGCAGTGAAATGCCCACAGACTGTGAATGCCTTCTTGGAGTCCGGTAGTCTGACTGCCCCAAGAAGAGTTGCTATCAGTCCTGAGGAATGTCAGAACCAGCTTCCAGATGAGGATGTTTTTCTTTGCTAGTTATATCACATGTGCTTTATCATTTAAAGAGTGTAAGGAGGCATTTACATTGCCACAGGCGATCACATTTTTATTTTCCTGTATAATACTGACATCTAGAGGCAGTTTGAACTGGAAAGTTTTCCAAAAAGCAGAGATG